TGAGTACTAGATTCCTCCCTCCCACACACATGCATGGATGGTGGCCAGTGAATCTTACACTCTTAGAGCCAAGGGCCAACAGGAGATAGGGACCTCTCAATTTCCTAGGAGGAACCATAAACATTCACTTAGCCAGAATCCACCCTTCAGTTTTCAATATGACTGAAGAGCCATGTTTAGGACCTGAAAAAGGAACTCAGGGCCTCTGGCTGTTTTTCCATTCTTCTCATATGTTTTTGTACAACCACCCTCTCCTAGCCTACTAGTTTCACAGGAGAATGGTGTTTCCTAAGTCATCTCTGGGACTAACAGAGTCAACCACACCCATGTTTCTGAGAGAAGTCTTTGGAAATAATCACATCACTAGCTGGGCTTCAGATACTACTCAATAGTAGAGCACTTGTTTGCAGGTTCAATCCCAACAACAACAACAACAACAACAACACACACACACACACACACACACACACACACACACACTGATGACCTCTTATGTACAAGCATTCTTCTAAGAGATTTGCCTCTCCTCAAGTGTCACAATAATTGTCAGGAAGACACAGTTGGCCCCATTTCATAAATGGAAGGACACAAAGACATTGTCCCAGTTTACACTGTGTTTTGTGGACGCTGTACTCTGGGTATGGCATAGATGGCAGACACCCTCTTGAGGCAGCCTTGATTACCTGCAAGACACCTGCACAAAGTGGCTGTTTGCCCTGGAGGGACAAGGGCTCACCAGGCTGGTCCCTTCCTAAGGATTTATACAGCTAATGGTTGCTAAGTGGGAGAGGGCACATGAGAGGCAGATTCACAGGCAGTTAACACTTATAGAGAGAAAAATTCTGAAGTCTTTATTTTGTGAATGAGTATTTTGCCTCTGTGTATTTCTGTGCACCATGCATCTCTGGTGCTAGAAGAGAGCATAGGGTTCCCTGGAACTGGAGTTACAGATAGTCATGAACGGCCATGAGGGCGCTGGGAGTTGAACCCAGGTCCTCTGGAAGAGCAGCCAGTTTTTTTAACCATTGATCTATTTCTCCAATATCTTAATTATTTTTCAAAGCGCACAGCTTTGTATATGTTGGCCCAGTCCTATAAGTAACCCCAGTCAAACACTTTATTTAGTGAGCCACATGATAGTCTGTGAGTGTTGGGTCTGGAACAAGCAGATGGGCCAGTCTCTTCAGGAACACAGTGCACTGTCAAGAAACCTCACCCAGCAAGTCCTCTTTGTTTCACTGAGTCAGGGCTGGAAAAGTGTGGAAACAACAGGAGACAGCAGGTGCTCATGGAGGTATCTGAGGCAAGTGAAGATGCTGGTGGATCATGGGCAAGGTCACAGGTTCCAGGAGTGAGGCAGGCAGAGAAAGGTTAGGCAAGTGCGCTCAGCTTGGACTAGTGAAGCTAAATATCCTGGAAAGGTCTAGGCCTGTGAGACCTGTCAGTGGGTAGAGGTGTCTGCAGGAAGGTCTCATGATCTGAGGTCTATGTCTGTATCTCACACAGGTTTCCATTGCATTGCTCCACACAC